AAGAGTGTTGCAGTTTTTGTTGGAGAGCTCTTTCAATTCCTTTGTTAATTCCTAAGTGTTTAATTTTTCTTGATGCTGGTGTGAACGATATTTTCCCCCTAATTTCTTTTTCAGTTCATGATTAGTGTTCAAGAAAGATGTTGATGTTTGTGCATTGGCTTTGTATTCTGCTACTTTGCTGAATTTGGTTGTTAATTCTGGGAGTCTTTTGGTAGCTTTTTTTTTGGATCTTCTAAGTAGAGGATAATTTGACTTCTTCCCTTCCTATGCATATTCCTTTTATTTTGTTTTCTTACCTAATTGATCATGCTAATGTTTTGAGTACTTTTTGAACAGGAATAGTGACAGAGTACATCTTTGTTTTGTTCTTGATTTTAGAGGGAAAGCTTTTAGTTTTTCCCCATTTAGTGTGAGGTTGGCAGTAGATTTGTCATAAGTGGCTTTTATCAGATTGAGATAAAGTCTTTTTGTACCTATTTTCTGCAGTATTTTTATGATTAAAGGATGTTGGATTTTGTCAAAAGCTTTTACTACATCCATAGAGATGATTGTGTGATTTTTGTCCTTCCTTCTATTTATGTGATTTATTACATTTATATATTCATGTATGTTGAAACATCCTTGCATTCCTGGAATGAATCCTCCTCGGCCATAATGTATGACCTTTTTGATGATTTTTTGCACCCTGTTTCCAAGTAGCTTGTTGAAGATTTTTGCATCTATTTTTCTTGAAGAGATTGGTCTACAATTGTCTTATTTAGTTGGATTATTGTCTGGTTTTAGAGTCACGGTTATGGCAGTCTCCAGGAATTACCTTGGGAGTACTCTTTCCCTTTCAGTTTTATTAACAAGCTTGGGAAGTACTGGTGTTAGTATTTCCCTGAAGTGTTTTTTTTTGTTTGTTTGTTTCTTTTTTAAAAATTTTTTTATTCAGCAATGAACCCATGTAGGCCTGGGCTTTAGTTTGTAGCTTTTATTTTATTTCCTGTTATTGGGTTATTCAGGGATATTTAATTGTGATTCAGATTTGGCAATTTAAATGTATCAAAGAATCTGCCCCTTTCTTCTGCAGTTGCCAACTTATTGGCATATAGGTTTGCACGATGGATGTTGATAATTTTTTTTGGCAGTGTCCATTGTGATTTCACCATTTTCATCTCTGATTACATGTGGTGTGGGTCTTTTTTCTCCTTTTTAAAGTTAGATTGGCTAAAGTTTTGTCTCTCCTTTCAAAGAAAGATATATGTTAAATTATGTTTTTTTTAGAAAGGTTTCAGCTATTATTTCAGTAAATAGATTTTTTAATGCCATTTGTGCTATCTTCTGACTTTTTATTAAACAGATCTATTTGGTCCATTTTCACATTCTCTTGTTTTTAAAATGTCTCGTATTAACTGGTTACTGACAATAGCTCTGTCTTCTAAGTCTGAGACTCTGTCCTTACATTGGTCACTTCTGCTGCCCATAGTTTCAATAAAATTTTTAATCATCTCAATTTCTATTTGAGTCCTTTTTATTCTTATCATCCATCTTTTCATCATTTTATTTAGCTCTTGTATTTTTTACTAGTGCATTCTTTAGCTGATTATTTTGTTTAATTGACTCAGTGCTTTGTTACTTATAACTTCTGTAGTCTTGCCAATTGTCCTATTGAACTATTTTATTATCTACCTTCATGATACTTTGAATAATTTGGGTGTAAGTCTTTTGGTTTTCTCCCCTTCAGTGCTCATATATCAGCTTTGCAGGAGTTGGGAGTTTTTGGAGGCATTTTGTTGGCTTGGTTTCTCATGTTTCTGTTTTTGTTTTTGTGTTTTGTTTTGAGGCTTGTGGGTTTATTGCAGTGGAAATTTTTATTTCTGGTACGGAGACCTCTTTAGTTACCTCTCCTTTTCAGTGGTGTTCTCTGGGTGTGGTTAACTACTGGCCTTTTCCTCTGTCCCAGGATCCAGCCACCTTAGCTCTTGACATGGAAGGTTGCAGTGTGTTTGGCCCAGTACCCAGTTCTTTCACAGTATTGTTAAGGACTCCCTGGCAATTTAGATAATGGAATCTCAAGAAAACCAGTTGTATCAACAGCTATGACACCTTGCCTATAGGGATAAAATCAGCATCAATGAAATACAAACTGAATATTGACAAACCCTAAGGGCGAATGAAGCATCACCCTTATCCATAGAAAATATATTTACAATTATAGTATGGACAGTAAGCCAAACCAAATATTTATCTACTATTGACACACAGTAAATATTTACTAAATAAAAGAGCTTTACCTCTACTAATAATAGAACAATATTCAACAGCAACAGCATCAAGTTAACCATTTATCTACTGTTTCATAAAGCTTAACTATATTAGTAAAAATTGAGAGAGTTGGGAACTGGAGAATTAATAAAAGCAAAATTTTAAAAATCAGTGAGATTTGAAAAGGAGGAGAGAAAAGAAAGAGAAGGGGTCCTATTAAGGAATAAAAGAAAATTAATAGCAATAGAGAACACCCACTGGAAAGATTGAACATAATGGATTCCTTTTCCCCCACAGCCCCTCCAGCATTTGTTACTGGTTGATTTCTTGAGAGCAGACATTCTTTCTAGGGTGAGGTGGAATCTCAGTGTTGTTTTCATTTGCATCTCTCAGTGAAGTTCAACATTTTTTCAACATTGAACTTCTCAGTGAAGTTCAACATTTTTTCAGATGTTTATCTGCTTTTCTACATCTTTGTCTGAGAAATGTCTGTTCATTTCACATGCCCATTTTTGGGTTGTGTCTTTAAATTTAGGTGATCTGATTTTTTAAAGTTCTCCACATAGTAGACCTTTGTCTGAGAAATAGCTGGTAACCATTTTTTTCCCACATTGTGGGTTGTCTCTCACTGTTGGTTGTTTCTCTTGCTGTGCCAAAACTTTTCAATAAGAAGAGATCCCACTTGTTGATCCCTTGTGTTAGTTCATGTGCAACTGAGATTTTGTTCATGAAATCTTTTCTTAAATCAGTGTCTTCAAGAGTTCTACCTAACCTCTGTTCCAGCTGGTTTAGTGTTTCTGTTTTAATATTTAGATCTTTAATCTATTTTGGCTTTAGTTTTAATCTTTGGTAAGTTGAAACCCAGTTTTTCCAGCACCATTTATTAAAGAGGCTATCTTTCCTCCAGTGAGTGTGTTGGCTCCTTTGTCGAAGATGAAGTGGCTGAGTGTGTCTGGAGTTGTTTCTCTATCTTCTAATCTTTTCCACTGATCCTTGGATCTGTTTCTTTGCCAGCACCATACGGTCTTTATCACAGTAGCTTTGTTAGTACAGTTTCAAGTTAGGGACTGTGATACCCCTATCTTGTCTTTATTGCCTAGAATTGCTTTTGCTATTCCAGGTCTTTTCTTGTTCCAAATGAATTTTTGGATTGTTTTCTCAAGGTTTGTGAAGTATGCTGCTGGGATTTTAATTGGGATTGCATTGAATCTATATAGCAGTTTTGCAACTATGTGGAAATCGGTATGGAGATACCTCAAAGAACTAGGATTAGAGGTCCCATTTGATACAGCTATTTCTCTGCTGCATGTTTTCCCAAAATAATGAAAAGAATCATATCGCAGCAAATTGTGTGCACCTATGTTCATAGCAGCACAGTTTGTAATAGCTAAAACTTGGAAACAGCCTAGTTACGCATCAACTGGAGACTGGATGAAGGAAATATGGGTTTAAAAAATGGAGTACTATTCAGTCATAAAGAAAGAGAAACTAGAGACATGTAAAGCTAAATGGATGCACATCAAGACCGTACTCTTAAGTGAAATATATAGAACACACGTGTAAATACTGAATAATTTCTCTGGTGTGAGAAACTGATAGCGTAAATAAAGACTAAAAGGTATAATAGATAATGTGAAATAGGAAGAAAAGGTGCAGAAGGGTGGGGGAAAGGGTAGGGACAGAGGAAAGGAAAGAAGGGAAGGCAATAGATACGAGAAAGGGAAAAAATGGAAGCAAAGTCTTTGTAAATAAGGAAGGGTGTAAGGGTTGAAGGGAAGGCAGGGGAATGGGGAAGAAAGAAGAACCAAGTTATATCATGTAAAGGTACAAATTCCCAATAATAAATGTTGGCAGATTGTATACCTAATAGATATCAATAAAGTTAATGATTTAAAAAACCAAAAAATAATGAACATGAAAATGAAGAAAAAAGATAAACAGCAAAAACAGGGGATAAAAGAAAAAGAACGAAGAAAAAAGTTAGAAGGGAAAATGATAAAATGGTAAAAAGTAAAGAAAAAAACAAAAGCCTTCAACCTGGAAAAAACCTGATGAAGGAAAGATAAAAATAACACAAAATGGAAAATAAAAAATCAAGTCAGAGAAAAAATTTCTGTGGTATGAATGAGTGGTTTCTTCCCACAATCTGCAGTCCTGAGATCCAGCTAGATACGATTTTCTGTGCCTGGGTTTATGGCCCGTGGGTCTTGACATTCCCTCCTTGGACTGAAGGCCCTCTGTCCATTCACTCCAGGCTGTGGTTACCTCAAGGCAGTTTCCTTGCTCCCACTGGTAGATGGGCTCTGCAGTCAGCCCTCTGTTCTGTCGGGATGTGGGTCACAAAGTGGGAGTTCAAGAGGTCTGTTGGGCTTAGTGTCAGCGGTCACGGGCTCCGTTTTCGCCCTTCTCTGTCCGGGTTTTTGCTTTGTCCAGGCTTGGGTAGCTTGGTGAGTCTTTGCCTCTGCTGCCTGGCGCTGTGCTCCTCTGGAGGTGATCCTGCTCTTCTGGTGCAGGTCTGCTCTAATTGGTTTCTTTTAAATGGAGTTTTTAGATTGTATAGGAATCTTATATTTATTGAATATATCATTGATAATCATGCTAGTTTGATTATGTCAATTTTAGGAATAGGTTATATTAATTGTACTGTAACACTCCATCGTTTCGTCTATCTTTTTGAATCTCCTTATGAATTTTGATGACTTGAATTGCTAAATAAAACTAAATAACTTCTTTCTTTCTTCTTTCTTCCTTAGAATCAAGTTTTTTACTGGGAAATGCCCAAATTGTGGATTGGCCTGTAGTTTATAGTAATGACGGCTTTTGTAAACTCTCTGGATATCATCGAGCTGACGTCATGCAGAAAAGCAGCACTTGCAGGTGGGTAATAGGAAAACCCAGGAAGCTTTTCTAAAGTTGAACAAAATTCAGAAAGTGGTTAAAAGGGTTATGTTAACTTAGACCAATAGAGAAACTGATGGGTAAGAATTATATTAGAAAACTAAGAGGACTATATTGTTAATGGACATATATAGTTTAAGAGCCATTATTCCTTTTTCAAAGAAAATAATTTTTGCATACCTGGATTAATTAATTTTTTTCAGCAAATGCTTTTTTGATCAGCTGCCATGAGGCAGCAACTAGCATAGGTGCTGAGTGATCAGAGAAGCATCCTGTATCAGGGAACCACTGCTGAAATCAGCACTTGTGAAGCAGTAGAAATTATCCTTAACAGAGCAGGATAAACCTCCCCAGCTGAGCAGAACATGGTTCATGAGCATTTACAGAACTTGAAAATGAATTCTGATATCCTGTGTCAGTCACATTGCTTTTGTTGTTGTTACTGGGGATTGAACTCGGGACCTCGTGCTTGCAAGGCAGGTGGCAAAGCCACTGAGCTGAATCCCTGGCCCACTTTTGCTTTTTAATGTTGGCTCATTATACCATTGTCCTTTGGTTTGTCCTGTTTAAAACAGAATCTAAACCTGTGTGATGGAACATACCTATAATCCCAGCGTTTAGGGAGGCTGAGGCAGGAGGATTGCAAATTCCAAGCCCAGCCTGACTAACTTAATGAGACCCTGTCTCAAAAAAAAAGGTCATTTCTGTAAGTTTAAAAAGAATATTATGATAAAAGGGGATCAGAATAAAGAAAAAAAGAACAGGAAACTATATATAAGGTTCCAATTTAGAATCTAAAATTGAGTAAGACCATATGGGATGCTTTTTCTTGGTTTAATTTTTCTTTAAAGCTCTCACTTAACTAAGCACCGAAACCAAATTTTGTTAGAATTGAAAAAGATCTGAATTTTTTTCTAGTTCAAATCCTATTTTTCAGATGAGAAAACTCACGTAGAGCTTCATAAAGGGGCATTCCCAGGGAAACAGGATTTATTTGTTTTTTTCTTTACCCAGTTACTCTGAGAAGTCATTCATTCCTTCTGCATCTTCATGGAAGCCAGGGATTTTATAGTACACCGATGTGTCTAAGTCTCACTGTACAGGAATTACTTAAACAGCTTTCACACAATAGAGATTCCCCTATCTCCTAAATCTGTTGAATCAGGCTCACTCAAGTGGATGGATTGATCCAGTAGTTAGTGTTTGTGATCAGCAGCTCAGGTGATCCTGATGCTTATCCCGGTTTGAGAGACAATCTGTTCAGACATCCTGCCCGTCACTTATCCCCAGCCCATCCTCATTTTCCCGGTTATGCCTGACTCAGTCTTCACACTGAGCGATGGAGTTGGTAAACTGGAGGATACAAACCGTGGCCCTTGGCAGAGAAACCCCTTTGTTAGTCAGCATTGACATCATTGTGCCTTTTTAACTGTGGGGTGATCGCTTGCTTTTGTGCTGGCGCTGTCAGAAAGGCGTGCGTGCTATGTTCTGCGTCATGCGTCGCTGTTCCCCTGTGATCCCAGCAGGGTGTAGGTGAGGAACAGTACACACTGTGGTCTCTGTTATCCCAAGGGGTGGAAGTGATGAAGAATCCCAGTGGCCATAGATGCTCTCATGCCCATTCTTCACGCAGAGTATTTCTCAGATGCCCTCTTCCACCTGAAGGTGCTTGTGACTCTCTCAAGCTGTGTCTCTCCCATCTGTGATGTTTCATGGTTCTTTGTGTATATTTCTGTTGGGCATCATTATTTGGCCTTATATTAGCTTTGCCTTATCCCTTGGTGTCTTGGTTACTTTTTCATTTCTGGGTCAAAATGCTCAACACCCACAGGTTAAAGTAGGAAAGGTTTATTTCAGTGCGCAGTTTATAGAGCTTTTAGTCCATAGTCAGCTGGCTCCAGGGCAGGGAGGCATCACCGAGGACAAACATTTCTTCGTGGTGTGGTAGGCAGGACATAGCAGCAAACCTCTTTCCCTTTTATCCCATTCAGCCACAAGCCTTTTGGATGGTGCCACCCACATCCAACATGCGTCTTCCCATGGTGCACACTCAGGAGTATAATAAGCCAATTAGTGGACTAACCCAGTACTCCCTACTCTTAATCCCAGTACCACACAACCTTGGGTCCAGCCACCTCTGAAAAGCCTCATCTACAAGTGCATGAGGCTTTGAGGGTCATCTAGATGCAAGCTATAACATTTGGATTTTTAATTTTTTTTTTTTTTTTGAGACAGGGTCTCACTATGTAGTAGAGACTGACCTGGAACTCACTTTGTAGTCCAGGCTGGTCTCAAACTCACAGCGATCCTCCTGCCTCAGCCTCCCGAGTGCTGGGATTACAGGCGTGCGCCACCACACCTGGCTGGACTTTTAAATTCCATTTGCTTTTGTTGTCATTTCTGAGAATTACTGCTATTCATCTCTGATACATTGCACAGCTCTGCTTCCATTCCTTCCTTTGTGCGATGGATTTTCCCTGTCCTCGACCTGTTTTATTTGGGAAGTGTAGTTTTTCCTCCAAAAGGATTCATTGAAAAGAATGGCAATATTATATTAATATAGTCACATTTCCTTTCATACTAACAGTTCCAGATTAAATTCTTTCAAATCAAGGACTGCATCTTTTGTATGCAGCACAGAACACAAGGCAGTATTTATGTTAGTATTTGTTGCACTAGGTTGGTTTGTTTTGCAGTAAATCCTAACAGGTCTGCCATACTTCTGTAAAGCGTGTTTCTGTTCATCACATTTCATCCCAAGAGTTACACCATTTGAGGCAGGTGAGGGTGATTTTTGGCTTATGTTGAGCATTTTCACTATGCAAAAAGTATGCAAATCTTCTGTGAAATCTTCACCTATTATAGAGAATATTTTCAAAACGATCACATTCTGAACATAAACAATTTTTACTTGCTTGCACAAAATGACAAGTGTGTTTTGCTCATCTAAAAATTGGAGCTGGATGTACATAGAGTGAGGAGGTTTCGAGTCTGATAAATGAGCAAATGATACTTAAACTCTGGCAGATTTTCTTGGAAGCTTGATTTATTTTCATTTGTTCCAAATTTAACCCCCCCATCCCTTTATAGCAATTAAAATCCGCCCATTTTATGTTTAACACAGTATTATGTAGAAAGAGTGGTGACCTAGAAATATCAAAATATTTAGTACAAGACTTGTTAAAAGGTTTTATGGTAAATCCCTAACTTTCTAGGTGATGTGTCAGAAGGATAACACTAGAAAAATCTAATGACGTTCTGTCAAGTTTTAAAAAACACCCCAAACAAAAAAATTCCAGGAAAACCACCCCAAACAATTTGTAAATCTGCATCATGATTCTTTTCTTCCAGATAAGTAATTATAATTACATATCATATTTAAAAAATCATTTAAATGTGAATTATTTTATGGGGAGATAAAAGACATTTGTATTTTTACAATATTAGAAATCTAAGATTTATTTCTTCTGTTTTTTATCTTTTTCCTTTTTTGTTCTACCTCCTGCTCCAGTAGACAGAATCAAATTAATCATGAGTCTGAGTTTGTTACAATATTATCACTGTACTATCTTTATTTCTTTAGAAAAATTTCTTTTCTGCTTTTTCCCATTTTTCCTCTTTGCATTCTCATTTCAATGTTAATTATGTATTTTTAATCCACTTCTATTCATTTAATATGTATATTTCTGGAGTAATGCTGTGTGTTCATTTTTAAGATGATCTACATAGTTGCTTCCATGAAGTAATGATTATATTTTTAACTCTTTTCATTCAACATTATGCTTTTGAGATTTGTGTGTGTTTTTGCATTATAACTGATTTCTTTAGGTCTCGGTGTGGGCCAGTGTTCCAGTGTCTTCACAGCCTTCCTGTATCTATTCATTTTGCTGGTCACCAGAGTGCTGCTTCTGACACTTTGCTACCTCAGAAGACTTGGAGATGAACATTCTCAAACACATCTTCTGTGGTCTTGTGTGAATTTTGTCTCTGTGCCCAGAAATGGGATTGATGGGTAGTAGAACAGATGCAGAATTCTTAAATTTAGTGCTGTCGGATTGCTGTCCAGAGTGGCTTTTGATTTCTACTTTTACCCACCATCAGTAAGGGTTCTGGTTTTCCAACTTCCTTGCTATGTTATAATATTATGGAAGTTACTAAAAAGTTTATACATCCTAGGTGCTGTCTCACTTTTGTTTTAGCCAAAATTAAAAAGAAAATTTATGTCACATCAGTATTTCTGGGAATTTTAGATATATTCCCTTTGTCGTCTGATAATTGCATTTCCAATCCTTGGCCTGTTCTGCTGTTTATTAGAGGACGCAAAAATATTGCATGTTTTGAGGATATTGTAGGTTTTGAGGGAATGACATTTAAAAGCGTATGAACTTCTTTCGTGATTCTTAAGAAGCTCTGACATTTCAGACATATTTTCAAAGGCTATGCAGGAACTACTCCAGTCTTTTAGCTTTCATTAAATTGCCACTTTAAGAAAACCTATTAGGTTTTGTATTTTGGGGCAGAGGGGTCAGAAGAGCAGTCAGGTGGTGAGGGGAGAGAGCATTGAGGACTAAAGAGATGCTTTTAAACACACGGTTTTTTAGGAAGGATATTAACAGTCTTTTATCCAAGTTATCAAAATAGGTGAGGGAGCAGAGGTTATTGGGTGGCTTTAAGTGGGTATAAGTCAGTACAGTTTCGTTGCTCTGAGAGTTGTGCTTCTCATAGGCACCAAGGAGGGCAGAGGTGCCCCGAGACGACAGATTCCTGTGCTGAGAGACGTACAGTGCTATCCCTGGTTTCCCTTAATTGCATCTACCACTTAAGATTCTATCTAAATCCTTTAAAAACTACATAAATTAATGTGCTCTGAAACCTTTGATTATGATATATTGTATAAGGTAATGCCTTTGAATTATTTTGAAAATTTCCTCTTCCAGATTTTGAAGGCTGTTCTTATTTTAAAAAAATTTTCCTGCTTT